AAGATATCCTAAGATTATAAACTTCTTTATAAGATATCCTAAGATTACATAAAACCAAAAATATGTTCTAGACATGCTAAAACCATCTAAAACCTTTGGATAGACTATCATACACTACAATTATATATAGTCATTAGCCCCGTGGGCGAAGGAGGTTGGGTTTTTTGCACCTCTTCCCCAAACCCCCGAAAAAATGGCCGCCACCTGTTCTCTCCGGGCCACTCTAAATGCAATAGCAGTGCGCGGCCCACTGCCATGGCCGACAAGGATCCGTCCTCATGTGCCCAGCACGGATCCGGCTCCTCCAGGGTTATTTTCGGGGCACGGGGAACACCTGCTGGAAGAAGATCTCTGGGGCGATCCAGTCTTCGCAACCCCTTTTGTTGTTGAGAAAAAACACAACATGGAAAGAATACCACCGACGTTGTCTGCAATAATCAATGGATGCCATGGGTGACCCACCTGGCGTCCTTGCTTTTGACATCTTTTGCCCATCTTCGACCCACATACATACTTATAGGGGGCGGCTTCACTCGAAAGTCCAAAGATTTTTGTTGGGGTTGATGAAGGGGTCGACACCAAGGGAAAAAATGGGAACAAAGGGAACATCCAAAATGATAAAAAAAAATTGAAAGTGGGCCACAAAAAATCAAACTGTCGACTTTGACTCCGAAAACGTCTCTCCCTTTCTCGTTCTTTCTCAATTCTCCTGGTTGGGCAACAAGCTGAAACCCAGGCTCAGCGACACCAGAGTCCACTTTAAGATTCTCGACTCACCTGAGGTCTCACGGTTCGCCGTGGACCATTTGCAGGGACTGTGACTGGCACCATCGATTCAAAGACCTTCTACCGAGGTGAACCAAGGGCCTTAGGGGTCTCAAGCTACCATTGAAACAGCCCCAAACTTCCCAAAGAAGGGCAGATCATCCATGAGTGGTGGCGATGTGTCGGCAAACTTCATGTGAATGGCCACGAGGATTAGTGTACTTTGATGCGTCACATGATTCACCACTGGCTACAGTACTGTTTCGCTCCAGAAAGCACCAAGACATCTCTTTAGGATGGGGTGAGTGCAGCTCCAAAAGATGTGTGAACCACTGGATTTCTATATATGCTTATGTGTGTGTGTGCATGTGTGGTTTTTGATCAACATTCTTTCATGATGGAATGTCCTCGAACCATGTGTAGCCAACACGAGCTGGAACTATATGTTTTAAAAAATAGGGACTGACATGTTGCAGCATGACCCCAGCACAAGGCTGAGGGTTGCCACAGCTACTCAGGGTCACTTGCAGCATGCGCGACATCTGTGCGACAAACAATATCCTAAGGAGGCTTAGAGTCAGGCACGACTCAACCCAATCCTCGTGCCGGGTATGTTGGGGGAGCCTCAATTTAGCGGCACATTCGCGAAGCTTTCGCGAAGTCTCACTGGTAATTTCCCTGGGAGAACATGCACAAACATCTGCACAACCTGTCAGAGCTGCGGGTGGGTGCCTCATTGTCAGGACTGTGCAAGGACAAGTTAAGTTGTCAGGTTGCCAGTCTGTGACAGTCTGGGACAGTGGAGACAGGAATCGGAGAATCCTTTACGCGAGGGTGGGCAAGGAAACGTTGAGGCTTCAGTTCGTTAGTCTGTGACAGTGGGGACATGCGGGGACACTTCCGCCCACCAGCTGTGCCGGAGGATCGCCTTGTATTCTACCACTTGTCGGTCGGTGGAAAGGAAAACATATGAAAGCGAAGACCTTCGATACATCCGTCGCCGCAAAAAAAAAAAAAAACGCGAACCGCGTCGCAAATCTTTCGCGGATGGTTTTCTCTGTACGGGGTTTTAGGTCGACTGACGTGTACAGTATACAGTACTGTATACAGTATACTCTTTTCATGGACTCTGAGCCTCATTTCAAGACCCCGCCAGCCCTCTTTGGACCATTGTTATCCAAACTCTTCAAACACAACTGTTGAAGATTGAAGTGATTGAACTCCAAAGAAGTTGAACCTCATTCCAAGATCAACATAGATCAACTCTTGATTGAAAGCCACCTCGCGGAGTGTACATGTTGAGGGTCCCAACGCGACCACCGAGCGACCCCCCACGCTGCTGCGTGCCGCCCAGCCCATCAGCATGGGCAGCATCGCCAGGAGCAGCAGCAAGGGCCGCGCCTTCTGTGGCGGACGACCCACGGACAAGTCCAGACCCTGCAGACCTCGAAGTGGAGAACATTGGAGGCTTCTCGACGTCGGTGGCCATGTGGGGCGGGGCTTGGGCCGCAGGGATGTGATGTTGATCACGCATGTGCACAGCAAGACCGATGTGTGGAGATCACAGGTTTGGATCAACGAGGACGTCTTTGTCTGACGGGGAATGCAAAATATGAAAGCTATAAACCCAGCCTTATGGCATTTCATGGCACTTGCAACAATTGCTCCATGCCTAAGCCACAGATGAACGAATCGATGGTCACTGAAACTGCTAGGCTTAAAGGGGAAAAAATGAACGAAAACACACTACTGTATTTTTATGTGGGACTCTTTCTATTGCCCACAATAAAAACAATATGATTGATAGGATGAAGATATGATGTTAATACTTAAAAATAAATTGTACAGAAAGTCCATGAATTACACTTTGGACGTGCCAAGAAAAGCCGAGAAGTGGATGATTGACTGACCAATCCAGCGACAGGTGTCCAATGTAATGAAACACATTCAATTTGTCAAGATAAACTGCACTCATGTAAACTAACATGGACCCTGACCTTACAATAGTCCCCTGGAAGATTGTTGTCCTCCAATCAGTGGTTTTGGCGGTCCATGTTAATCAGCAGGGCACTGCAGGGGAGTATCTGATCAAACTGATGTTCAACATTATTGTTTTTTATAGCTTCTTGTTACTACTAGCGATGCACCTGTTACTAGTAGCGTGGCACTTGTTACTACTAGCCAGCAAATGTTGCACCCCCGGCCTCCAGTCCTTGCCGCCAAGCCACCCAAGTATCGACCGCCAAATCCCAAGGTGCCAGTGATCACCGCCGCCGAGAAGACCCAGGGCTCCTCCCAAACATCGACGAAACATGGTGTGAAGGTGTGTGTGTGTGTGTATGTGTGATGGTGATTGGACAGTCAAACCAATGAATGGTCAGGATGGTCTATCAACCAGGCGTTGAGTTCGGTGTGCCAGCTTGGTCCGTTGGGACTTCCACCCTGTGAATCCTGGAGCCCGTCAGGGGCGCTTGGAGGTTGGTTCTGCCAGCAGGTCGCTCCCACGTTGGAAAATTGCCCCGAAGGCCCCGAAGTCTGAGATTCCACGGTTCGACCGGTTCCCGACCATACGACCGGAAACAGACATCGGCCGAATTCTTGAAATGGGTGTTGAAACATGTCCCAGACGAGATGCATCGCGAATTTGTGCTCACCCAATAAACACCGAAAAAACGCAGAACATAGATCACGAGATATCATGAGTACTGAGCAAGAATCCAAATGATAGTTCTTCATCTGGAGTGATGGATCTGGGATGATCTGGGAGACGCCATGTGCTTTCTTTGGATCTTCATGCTCCTTACGAGTTGGAAAAAAAGAACAGCTGTACGGCTGTTGATGGAAGAGCAACTGCACTACTGGGATGAGGAAGGGACCCCACTTTTCATTGCGTTCTGCGGGTTCAGTCAGCAGAAGCGCACAAACACATGACCTGTGTGTATGCGAAACCCATTGTAAAGACATGTAAAGACAGCTAGAGACCTTTCTATACTGAACTTTTGTGCGAGCTCGAGCATGAAAAATCATCAGAATCTGATGCACCACTGCACTACCATCCTCATGCCCATGAAGGCAAAACAAAATCCCGGTTCTTCTCTGGGGCAGTCCCTTTCACTGCAATCGACATGTTTCGCTCCTGAGAGACACGCGAGATCGCTGCGCACCACTCCAGCCGATGATCCACCTGCGCACCACCGTGAAGACGGGAAAAATCGGGCGGTTCGCGCCCGCGTTTCCGTGACCAGCTGAAGTGAGCTGTCCTTGCAGATAACTGAGTTGACCAAGCGATCTATGATCTTGAGTCATGGAAAAATCTAGGAAAACTCACAAGCACCATGAACACGGGCGCTTCGAAGCTGACCCATGAAGGGAATGAATCAAGCTCTCCAAACATTCTCCAGTTCCGACGACTGGAGCACGAGTTCGAAGCGGCCACGGTCATCCCCCCAAGATAGACACCTTTTCGTGGATTGAGAGTAGATGGCACAATCCCCAAAGGAGGTTCATATCACTGTAACTAGGAATCTGATTTAGGAAACTCGCGGGGTTGCTCCGAACGGCTTTCTGCTGTTTTGGGGGGGGGAGCCAAAGGATACGCCCGTCTCTTCAGCTCCCGGTTCAACAAGCACCAGGTGACACTGCTCAAAGATAGGTCTACCAGTACATTCCATACATGGATGATTCTTCGGCATGTTCAAGAGAAGGAGATGTATTTGCATGGATCCGCTCCGGGTTGGTATTGCCCCTGACTCGGATGACAAGTCCAAACAAGACGTAAAAAAACAGGACTCCCAACCACCCAGAAATACATGTTTCACTTTGTTTCACCACATTTGAGCCACGCTTCCTTTCCGGGCACAGTACTCATCAAAACTCCCACCTTGGCTCTGGTGTTATCCCCTGCCAGGTGCAGCAACCTCGGACGCTACTTGCGAAGCGGTCGGCCACTGTTCCACATGTGCCGGGCGTTCTCGAATGGATGAGCGTTTCATTGGAGATCGTGTTCCCCATTCCAGCATTTTCTTTCCAAAGGACATGTCTCCCACTCCCATGTCCTAATTTGCCAGTGATGGGGAAGAGGGCAAAATGCTGGGATTCACCCACTCTCGTGCACTTAGGGCCTGGGGTTCTCAAGTTCACATCCACATGGGACGGCAACTTGATTCCTCTGGCTGTCAGGTCTCAGACACAAGTCTTCGGAAATCCAGAAAAACCTGTCCAACTAATCACCATGAAACATTACTGCCCAAAACCCCGACAGCTCTGGTGACTCACTGACCCTAGCATTGCTACGCTGGCTTTACCCCCCCTTGCCTGGTCTTGGGGGTCTCAAATCCAATGTTCGTGGGTTGCTTGTGGAGCTTCCAAAGCGGCGCTCGGAACACAAAGTAGCTCCGAACCTTATGCGCAGCCTAGAAGCAACTGGGCAATGTTCAAAAATAGGAAGCCCAGCACGAGCGTTGGCCAACTGCCGCAGTTGGAGGCTCAAAGATGGACGGGCTGGAGTTAAGGGATTGCAAACATGTCCTGTTCCCTGTCATTGGACCTGCTCCTGTTTATAGTTTATATATATATATCATTATATAGGTGATAGGTGTGATGAGTATCCCGGAGTCCATCCACAATTGACCCACAACGCACATTTTGATCATGCAAACATGGGATCTGAATGCAGGTGTGACTCCGAAACGCTGCTAGGAAAGGCGAGTTTCACCATGTCCCATGCTCAGGTAATCTTACACCACATGCCACAGTCAGGTAGGTGAATTCCCAAGAGCTACAAGTACAAAGGGTGAATCGAAGATCCTCTCTAATTACAGTTGCATCATCATGCTGAGGTAAGGCAATGACGAAGATTTTACCCCGAAACTGATCCCAGCTCGCATCGCGTGTTGCAGTGTCGCACAAAATGTTGTATCCAGAACATGTTGCTTCTGTCTTCAGTCTACGTAAAGTCTTTAGCATCTGTGAAACCAAACCAAGTGATCCTCCTCGTCACGGGGTTGTGGCCAGAGGATCCGTCTGGTGTGTGTGCAGACGTCGCCATCCAATGCTCTGCCCTTCTTTCGAACCTCGATGCCCTGGCCGCCCCGACCGTCCAGAACACCAACCCGTTGGGTACCCAACACCGGAGATCACGCATGAAGGATGCCGGGTCACGCCGACCCCGAAAACGATCCCCGTTCGCCCCCATTTGGAGCCCTGAGGAAGTGATGGCTCAAACGGCGCCGCCGACATGGAAAACCGTCCGAGGGTCATTCAGGAATCAAGTTGAACTGGAAATTCAGGGGAGACAACGGAGACAAGACCTGTTTCTAGACTGATTTTATAGGGGGGCGGGCAGTTTTCTATTAAGAGACCCATTTGGGGATGGCATTTTGATCTTGAAGTGTGGATGTGAATGGCATACCTTTGTAAACATCCCTCAAGGTCTGCTGGTATCTCACACAGCACATGGCCGACCTCCTCTGCTCTGAGAGCTGCATGCCCCACAAGGCGCTGGAGAGCGCCAAGCCCAGTGGAAAGCCTTCGCTCCCGCCGCAGGGACGACCTGGGCGGATGTGACGCGTCATACGCGACACGTGACGCTGGACCCTGACGGCTGTCAGGGGCTGGAAGACCCAAAGCAAGCTGTGGATTGAAGCGATTGAAGATGACCTTTGACTTCTAGCCGAAAAGCTTCACCCCAAGACAAGAAGTCCTTGTGGACCACTGCCTCCTATCCAGGATAACAAATGGACAAAGTGGGCCTCAAACCGCACCAGTGACCAGCCCTCCAGCCCTCGGCTTAAAGCATCAATCCGTCGTCGCCACCGACATCTCGGGACGAAGAAGTCGTCGCAACTCTCGTCGTGGCAACTGGGGACTCCAGCTCACGGCCACCCCCGCAGCCAGCCACTCCAGCACGCTGTTCGGCGTGCGCCCGCGCCAGCGCTGAGCCTAAGATGGGGAGCAGACCGCACTGCGGTGCAGGTACCAGAAGGAGTGCACGAAGTGTTCAGCCCATGTCCAAATTGAAAGACACGCGTCAAGGACATCCGTCCAATAAGCCAATCGAAATAGCTAGGCTATGCTTGGAAATGAACCCTTCATAGACTCTGATAGTACGCCGCCTGGCCCGGTAAAGAAGGGGTTCGAACTCTTCACTTTGGGCACCTTTGTGCCAAAAATAGATCATGGCACAAGCCACGCATCACCCAACGTCCGAGTCTTCGCCCAACGTCCGTGCGTTCAAGAGATGACCATCCCCGTTGAAAGAGCATGGCATCTGGGATCCACTCGCTTGCGACCCTCCGGTCAAGCAGCCGTGTTTCTTGTTTGGTCCCAAGGTGTCAGGGGGTCTCTAGAAACCTGGTCTGCTGGATTCCAGGAGCACTGAGTCACACCCACCGAAACCACCGACAGCACCTAAACGCGCCCGCCCAGTGACATAGAGGTACGTGCCCGCCAACACGGAGCTCCAGGAGCGCATCCTGCGGATCCAACGTTGCTCCGTCCCTATGGATCACCCCCCGGTGCGTGCGCATGCGCGTGCGCGCGCGCTGGTGTGTGTGTGTGTCCACCCCTGGACAAAGGGTTTTCCACCGCCACTCTTTTCACCGTTTTTCCACCACTTTCCACACGCAGGGGCACACGGCATCCATGACCTACCGTGTGCAACGAAGCTGCGGTCATGGATGGGAAGGGAAGGCTGATCACCTTCCTGTACCTGCTCCCAACACACTGACTCCAATGGTCCACCCTGCCGCTGTTCGTTGGTTCAATGGTTCTTCATGCTACCACCCCCAAGCCCACCGCAGCCTTACAGCCGACTTGCAGCCGCGCTGAGTGTCCGATCGTCTTTTCGAGTGCCACTGCAAACAAGGTTAAACCATACTGTTTTCACTGACCTTTGCGCCCTGCGGTTCTTCGCCTTTCTTCCCATCGGGAAATTGAGTTAACTGAATACAAGTGTCAGAGTGTGTTTCGCTCAGCCGTCCCACTCGGGTGCTGAGTGTGATCCCCGTCACTGGGGCGCGGTTTTCCACTTCGGCAAGCAACCAACCCAACATGCCAC